TCCAAAAATGATGCACTTAAATTGTTTGGGCTAAATATGATCCAGATCAAACTTGCAAATATGATTTACAGCACAAATATGATTTAAGTCTGCCCCATGTTAACCTTTTCTATCATTGAAGGGTTGCCCCACCCATAAGTGAGTCTACCTTTTATCATCGTATGGGATTGATTGTACACGAGACCACTTATTTTTCGTATAAAAAAACTCTTAATCAGCTTTAATCGAAAAAGCGCAGTAACAAGTTCAAGAAAACATGGCTAATGCCACTCTTTACTATGCAATTTGACATCTTATACCCATGGGTAATTTAGTATTTTTTTTTTTTAACTATAACGTACCAATTTATTATTATTTTTATTTTATTTTTAATGTTAACACTAAGATTTCATTAATATAAGGAGATAAACTCCAATAGTACATGTACATGAAGAAAAAATAAGAAAAAAAACCCTATTTCAAAAAAATGACCAACCAACTCTTACAGAACATAAACAATCAGTAAACCTAGAAGACCTTACTCTATTGACGAGCTTAAAAATCCTACTGCCTACTAGAAGCAAGAATGCTTGTTAATTGTAACTGAAAATATGCCAGCAACAAATCAATTTGATTAACACAAACTTAATGCATGCATAATATTTAAAGGAGAAACAAATTTGAACATCAAAAACGTGGTTTGGCTAAACCTACACACAAAAGGAAAATTTTTTATGGCTAAAGCTTAGTATAAGACTTTTTACATTTGATACAAGGTTATAATGACCCCGGGCTATCAAATTTGAAATCGGATTAGAGATATGTCTAAGAGTTTAAGAAAAACTTTTTTGAATTTTAAGTGGATGTGAAATCGAGTTGGGGATGTGTTGTAAAGTTTTAAAAAAACTTATTTAAAGGAAAAATTTCCCCATACAGCCTAATTTTGTATTTGATTTTTCCACGGATCCCCAAATTTGAAACATTTTTAATAGGAATAACTTTGTTAGTTTCATATCTTCTAACCCCTGAACAGTTTTTATAAGCATAACAATTATTTTGAGCAACATAAATGCTCCAAACATATCCTATAAAAACACCCAGGTCCATCTCTCTGTTGTGCCCAAGACTCTCTTTGTCGCCCTTAGAACTCTACGCCATACCCCTGTCTCTAGATACACAAATGTAATGCCTTTGAACAGTGACAACCTCTGCGCTTTCTCTCCACCATGATTTAGTGTTTCTCACAAAATCGCATTCAAGCCTCTCATCTGCGTCTATGCTCCTTTCTCACACTGCGTTCATGGAAATAACTTCAATTATTTAGTGTTTTGCATAAAACCACATTTAAACATTCTGATATAAATTTTTCGCCATTAAATTCAGCAATTTGGGTGATGTTTCATTAATATATTCATTATTCGAGGATGATGAGAATCTCTCTCTAAACGTAATTTAACTCTTTGATTGCAGCATAAGAAAGGAGCATAGACACGAGTGTTGTGCCGTATGAGGGCTTTCAAACTTTGATATTAACTCAGCTGAATTACTGAAAGTAATGAGCTGGTCACAACATATTCTACTAAGATAGAGCGTCACTTTCTCTCTCTAAATTCACTACTCAGCATAAACATCTCAAACCCCAACATTATGAAACCCATGACCTTCTCTCTCTAGAATTGACTTGTTGAGACCTTGAAATAATGGCTGAGGAGCTCTAGCCTGGGTACTTGAAACCAATGAGTGTGGATGATTCTCTTTCTAGAATCAATAGGTCTGGGGCTCAAAACCATGTTGCGCAACAAAGCAGGATTTGATTAGGGCTGAGCTCAAATCGGGTACGGCACAAAGTTCAGATGGGGGAGAGAGAGATGGTTTGGGGTAGAGAGAAAGGCGTATGGCACAGAGCTTTTATTTATATATATATATATATATATAAGGTAGAGCTCAGATTGGGGAGAGAGAGAGTGAGTGCGTGCGTGAGGCTCGTTTGGGGTAGGGCGATGGGTAAAAACGGTTTAAGTGGTTGGAAGATCGAAAAGTGATATAGTTAATGTCATTAGAAATGTTTCAAATTTCGGGGTCAATGAAGAAATCCCACAACAAATTAGGTGAAATTTTCCCTTACTTAAATTTTGGTAAAAGTTTATATAAGCTTGCAACCCAAAAATATAGAATTAAAGTGCATATCAAAAATTCAACGTAAAAGATTGTTTTAATGTTGGAAAACCCTCTAATTGATCATCTCAACATTGAGATGTATAAATATGAAAAGGAAAAAAAGATTCCAAGTTCAAGAAATAGCGTATCTTGCAAGAATATTTTATGAAGCTTTGGGCCGTCCATTTTTAAAATTTTCATATGTTTATAGATCTACTTGATTTGAACCATTCTTAAAGTTTACAATTTTATAACTAGAGATGAAAATAGATTGTAAGCCATCCTAAGATTTTTTGACAACAAAATTATATATATGATAACATTTATAGGTGCGCCTTAATTGAATTGTTTATGGTTGCAACCTTCTGCAAACCACAACCTTTAAATTTTAATGCGATTAGTAGTACACTTACAGTCACCAAATTGTCATCTAATGGTGTGTCTAATGCCAAAGAAAAACTATTTTATTTATACATTCCAAAACTTAATCTCCATTACATTCTAACATATGGGAATTTCCTTGTTCCTCTGCACAAAAGGGCCAAGTCATAGAAACAAAATTTTGCAACCAGCCATGACAAACTTGTTTTCTACTGTTTTGGTATGGCATTTATTTTGTACAAGACCCGGTTTTTATGCGGCCAAGCTCGCATATGTAGAAATGTGAGCCTCTTAATAAATCTATTTTTGAGATGGAGTTTAGGACTTAATTTTTAAGGACACGTAATCTCTAACATGGAGATCATGAATATGAAAAATAAATAAATTTTAAAAACTAAAAATAACAATTCTATTAAGAAAACATTTGGAGCATTAGTTTCCATCGTTTTAAGATGGAACACCTATTTGCATCCATCTTTAAGATGAAGGCTTTACACTTTTTGGACCGCATATGTAGAAATACGGTCCAGCCGGCATGAAACAATTTTCCTTTTGTAAAACGCTCTAACAAATATCAAGAACAAAATCTCAACATGCTTTTTATTTTGTGAGGAAGTATATAATAAAAACATTTACCTTTAATAAAAAAAAGTCACAATCACCACTAGTCATCATATTTGAAGGTGGTTAGGGGTATATCATTGACTACACTCTAACATAATGTCCTTCAGATACTGTGCGGGGAGATGATACACCCCAGCTGGCTGATTTTACATTGGACAAATTGGGATATTTTTTACCTTTATACACAAAAGTAAGCAGTTCCATTGTATATAATCCCTTTTTCATTGTTGAAAAATAATAACATGTTGATCCAATTTATGCACTGGTGAATGAGATTGGTAGAGACGATTAAATATAACTGCTTACCACAGCTAAAAAAATATATTATAGTAAGAACATAATAAAATAACATCATAAACAGTAGATTATCACAGGGTTTCTGGCAGAAAAAAAATTTTCACCCCCATTTTTAGGGTAACCCAAATTTATAGCACAATGCCCAATAGGTACAACTTAATAGAATTGATGTACAAACAAGCAGTGCAAGTATTAGCAATTGAATTCCCAGTATTTAGCTGATCTCGGCCAACATCTGTCAAAAAAAAAGCATTTTACCCTAAAAGTCCTCTCAACTTGCTCTTTTTTAATTTACTGTGAAAATTCTCGAAGTTTCATGGTCTTATTCACCAATCAAACCATGATTCTAAAAAGTCCACATCTAGATTGCAAAAACCCACTGATTTCATTCCATGAGATTTCTTCTAAACCTTAGGCACCAGACAAATTTAAAAATTATCCCCCTTCATGCACAAAGCAATCTAATCTATAGCGTTGGCATCAATGATCCTGGCCACCCCTCCAAAAATCGCAACAGCAACTCTTCAATGGACCCAAACCACACCAAATATCCTCCCAAAACCAGTGCAAGTATATACATATCCGCTCCCCATGATTGAACTCCAGGTCAATCCTACCAATACAAGTGTAGAAACCAAAGATTCCATTTCACCTTCATGAACTTTTAACATCCAATCTTTTTTTTTTTTGGTTGATAGTGAATGCTCAGTCATTATTTGCACCATAGTCCAACATCGTTATCCTATAGGAGCTTGATTCATAAATACAAGCTTGCTGATACAAAATGCCACTACACTTAGCATGGCATGCACCATCCCAAATGGTGAAACTTGTATTTATTGTCTAATCATTTCCTGTTTCTCTAACTCCTGCCTCCCAATGGAAAAAGCAGAATCTCCATATAGATTTGGAAAAACAATCCAATCATGAGCTGGTTAGCTTTCTGAAACAAATATTTCCTGTAATTTGTTCCTTTTTTCAATCTTTTCCATGTATTATTCTTCACAGAAGCACACAATACATAGCATAAATTACAGATGACAAGACTAATGATTTCTGCACAAGCCATATGAATGTCATTTCTAAATTTCGCTCGCGAAAAAAGTACTTCTGATATTTTGCTAATATTATGCCAACTTTTGTTTAACTTTTATATTTGGTGCTCATATATTATGCATGGAAAGAGGAGGAATTCTTTCTGCCACACCCTTGAAAGAGCAACAATGACACCTAAATCACTACAGCTAGTAATTACTAAAATTTAATGTCTTAAGTTCATTAACACACAGCATAACCCTTGGTCCTTGGATATGCCTCACAAGATCCTTCATTTTGATCCTTTGAAGCTTCTCAATCACCAAATATTCCACAACACAAGGCCTCATAGTCCTTGTGATGCAAATAAAAATTGGGAAAATTCAAAATTGTAATTTTATTATTTTTTTGAGTTTTTTTAAGAAGTGCTCATAGATAAGGTGGGGCGAGAGTTTTAGTAGGATTGGAGATAGGCCTGATTTTAATATTGGGCAAAGGATCTAGATCTCCTATTTTTATGGATTTAGGAGATTTACCTAGAGGTTTATAAGAGATTTACCTAGAGATGGATTTATGGGGAAGATAAAGATTGAGAAATTTTGGTGTATGAGGATTTAAGATAACAGGGAGGTTAGAGAAAAAAAGGGGAGAGGGAAAATAGGGAGAGAGAGGTGGCACGTGAGATAAAGGAAAGTGAGATAAGGGAATATTCATCCTAGTTAGAGAGAGGGTTTTTTTTGTGTTTTGAAGTCTATTTAAAATGGGAAGATGTCCGTCATTGTAAAGAGATCAGAGAATCATAAGAGACTGAGATTTGAATAAAGTTCATATTGTGACAAGATCTTTTGGGATGGATTCCCTTGCAGACATTGAGATAGGGTTTATTATCTCAACGATTTTCATTATTTTATTTTTATTGTTCTAGTTTTTTTTTCTCCCTGCATCACCTTGGTCCTTAGACATACCTCACTAGATCCTTCATTTGATACTTTGAAGCTTCTCAATTTACCAAATATTCCAACACAAGGCCTAATTTAAGTCTCAATGTTATTCTAATCCTAATCTCCCATTGACCAAATAAGACACAGAAACCATAACCCGATCACAACTAGCTGTAAATTACTCAACCCACATAATATTCTAAAGCTTTATATAAAGCATCAAAGTAAGATAGACCACCTCATTGCAAACACAATGATGCCTCTTTTATCTCTAAAACACCACAAGGCATCCTTGAAAATCTAGAGAGAAAAGGTACTGGAAATGCACAAAGGCCACATTGAGTCGATGCTGCACAGGGTGGTTTTTAGAGCTCCGCGGGATTGCAGCGTAAGCACTTTATAGAATTTCCAACATCATTTGCACCTTAATCATTCATGCTATGCTAGAATCAAACACACAAGCGTAGACAATGTAATGGATGCTTCTTCACAATCTCTCCACCAGATATAACACTGCTTAAACAGCTTCAATATCTTCTAGAGACAGTTGTACCATCTCTGTTAGTCTCCAACCAAATCAAATGAGTCAATGGAATATTAATTCAATGAACAACAATCACTAAGTCAAATACACCTCATCTCAGCAACCATGAGTCCAAGGAAGAGTTAAAAAATGAAAGAATAGGCACAATCAATGCCCATTTGCTATGTTTTTTTGAGAATGCACTAATGCCTTTTTGCTATGTTAACTTGTAAAATAATAAGATGTCCATACACACTCGGGTATATGTGTGCTTTTTTTTTATGAATATGATTATGTGTTTATCTTACTGATATTTGCATCCATCAATACACTATTTAACTCTTATATCTCCCTGAACTAGATATCCTTTACCCCTTGGTGAAAGTCATCATTCATGTCAGAAGCAATATATAACGTCGATACACCTCTCAAAGCACAAAACTTGCACTGTCTATCGTAACGAACAACATGCAGACCTAAGCATTTCTACTGAAAAGGCTTCCAATTTGAATAGCATTATGGCACTATAGAATGAAATTTTGAGAACCCCCTCCTCTCCCCAACCGAAAAAAAAAAAAACTGGAATATCTGGGCCAGCCATATCTAAGAACACATAAATCCATGATATCCAAACAAATGATACGAGAAACTCCATGATGAGATTGATCTCAATTACCAACAACAAAGATAGAACATCCCACCACAATTGTTGGAGTGGTACCAACAGAGCATCAAACATCCCACCACAATTGGCACCAGAATTAGCACCAACAGAGCATCTTGACAAATAAAAATGCGCAAAGGATACAATCAAAAGAAGAAGTTCAATTGAGCTAAGTATAAAAATGCGCAAAGGATACAATCAAAAGAAGAAGTTCAATTGAGCTAAGTATAAAAATGCGCAAAGGATACAATCAAAAGAAGAAGTTCAATTGAGCTAAGTAAATTGCAAAAGAGAAGTAGTGAAAGGAAAAACACTAAACGATGTGAGACCAAGAAGACTCAATTGGTTTACACAGAATTTGCCTGCAACTTCCGAAGTCTTTTGACAGCAGCTGAAACCCTTTTCACATTCTTTCTTCCCTTCCTCACCTTTGGCTTTGTCACTCTTATAACAGGAGACTCCTTCATGATTCGAACAGGACCCGGGGGTAGCCCTTTCTTTAAGGCACTGCCTCTTGGAGTTGCAGAAGGTGGCAATCTCAAGCTTTGAGGGGGCAAAGGGCTGTGGGGCTTCCATACTATATTACTTTTCATGGAGAACCTGACCTTCTTGACACTTTTCTCACTTTTCTCTACACTCTTTTCAGGTGCACTCATACCACCACTTAGAGCACTAGTGTCTGGGCTACATGGATCCTGTTTACAATTCACAAGTCTTTTTGGGTTTCTCCTTTTTGGCTCAATAGGAGATGGTGATATAAGTGTGGAAGATACCTTCTTCACTCCTTTTCCATCACTTTTCTCAGGTCTACTCTCGCCATTGCTTTCCTTACTGGGACCACAGGGAACTTGACCATTTTCAGAGGCAGGAGACTTCCTCTTTCTTGACTTAAGAAATGGTGATACGGAGATTTCTGTTAAATCCAAACCATCCATACCAGCCTCTGCAGCAACCCTCTCAAACTTCTTTTGTAGATTTGAAATGACGGATTCATCAAAAACTAACACATCACTCCTATTTAAATGTCCAATACATGGCTCTGGCTCAGTACAGGTATTTTCCTCATGAGCAACATGTTGCTCATGTCCTATACCTTCCTCATCCTTAGTTAACTCATCAAGATTCTTCTTCCTGGACTTATTGCTCATTCCATCGGATGCTTTTTTGGACTTCTTCTTCTTTCTCTTCTTGGAATCACAATTAGAAACATCATCCCTTTTCTCAGAACAAAGTGGCATTTCCTCCTCCTTATCAGAAACCTCAACCTTCGAATGCCCATTAAGTAACTTTTTAATCCCGTCTTCTGGATTTTGACATGACCCATCATCTAAATGTCCGGGGTTCCCAACCCCATTCATTTGGCATGAGCTATCTTCTGAATGCTCATCGTCCATCGTTTGGCCTGACCCATCATCCAATTTTTTATCCTCCATCCCCTCATCTAAATTCTCTGAGTTACTGACCCCATTATCCATTGCTTTACATGACCCATCTCCTAAATTTTCAGAAATATTGGCCCCATTCTCCATTTCTTCACATGACCTAGCTGACTCATCTCCTAAATTTTCAGAATTATCAACACCACTATCCATCATTTGATTAGAGCCATCTTCTGAGGGGTCTTGTTTCTTAGTCATTAAAGGCAAAACCTCAAAACTCAATTTTGTAGCAGCCCTCTCCAGCTTAAAGAAACTATCATGTAACTCAAATAAAACCTTCCTGTTACTCTGAATTGTAGTTGAAGATGATGCAGAATCGAGAAACCTAGCTGATAGCCCAATCGAGAAGGCAACTTTTCCAAAATTTTCCACTTCTAAATTACAATCTCCACATTCTTCTCCCCCTTTAAGCTTCAAAAGCTTCTTCCCCTTCTCCAGAAGGAAATCAAACACATCACTTTTAACCTTCTTGATCAAAACCTTATACATCGATCTCTCCAAAACCACAACAAAGGGCTCCAATATCACAGAGAACACCTCTAGATTTAGCGGCAAAAATTCTTTAATTTCCGATAAAAAAATCTCAGCTATGTGGTAATTAACCCCATTTGCGTGATATTTATCCACACTTAAGAGCGTCCCTTCACTCAAAATCCCCATAAATCTCTTAGAGAGAGAAATATCCCAATCATTCTTCTTTAGTAAGAGAAACAGACTGTGCAAAAACTTACGAATACTGAGATAAAATTTATCCAGTCTCAAAAAATCGATCCCGCTCCATTCTCGACGCATAGTGAGCAAGAAAATCTCAAAGTACTGACTAGAGAGAGAAAGATCGACACTTACCAGGATTGAAGACAGCCTCTCGATGAGATCGACCTGAACTGGTAGTTTATCCGAGTGCCAAATGCAATAGAAGAGACCTTTCCATATCTTCTTCATGTCCTGCTCCGAAACCAGGGGTTGAGCCATTAGCCATGTTCGCAAGAGCTTAACAGCTTTATCCCGCGTGGCTTTGTTACAGGAGGCAAGATCTTTGATGAAGACCGAGCCATTTAGGTTTTCGTTCTGGGGGTCGACGGCCATGGATCAGGGTTTTGGTAGCTTGGTCTGAATCTGGGTTCGATTATAGCTCCAGAGGCGCGTACGAGCAGAGTCTGGTTTGGATCATGGTTAGAGAGAGAAATAGAGGTTTGGTAAATAACGAAACTAGGGTTTTGATTTGAAGGCTCTCTCTAGGCGCGGTTTAGAGAGATGTTTTGTGTAGTGCGTCAGCGACGAAACTAGGGTTTTGATTCGAGGGTTTCTCTCTCTAGGCTTGGTTTTGAACTCTCTCTTTCTTATTTTATCTGTTAGGCAGCAGCAGAGACTGCTTGGGTTCGAAGGGAATTCCCTTAGAACCATTTTAAGGCGCCATTTGTATATATGTTTCTCTCTCTAACCTTTTCTTTTGAATGTATTTCTTTCTCTAGCATTTTTAAATCGAGAGAGCTTTTGAATGTATTTCTTTCTCTAGCATTTTTAAATCGAGAGAGCTTTCTATGTTCTCCCTCCATCATGCAAGTTCTATCACATTTCTACCGTCTAGCTGTTCTTTTTTTATCAAGAGAGCTACTCACCATTTGATCTTAGATCCAACGTTTTAAAATATTTTGTTTTTAGTTTTTTTTATACAAATTGTATAAATATAAAATTTGGCACATACAATCTTTTCATTACGGCTCACCTAGAAAAAAAATATTAAAAATAATTTTTCAATAAAATAAAATGACTAAAATACCCTTTAAAATTTTTAAAGGTATTTTGGTCATTCTATTTTATTGAAATTTTTATATATATATATATTTCGCTAGTGCAAGTTTAATAGAGGAATATACGTCGAAAATTTGATTTTAAAATAGTTTATAAAAAAAAAAATTAAAAATAAAATAGTGTAAAGACGTAACATTGTGATTGGGGGCAACCATTCAGAATGAACAGTTGGATAAGGGGGAGAATAGAACTTCTATGATGTAGGGAAAGCATAGCAAGCTTGCCCATTGCTCATATTTAAATAAGGGTGCGGTTTGTATAGAGCCGAGGCTCTAAACAATCAAAGTATAGCACACTTTCAAATAGTATCAATAAATTTATATTAAAAAATTTTATGATAGCTTTAAAATATATTTTCATCTTTAATTGTAAATTTTAAAGCTTCAAAAATAATGTAGATCGAGAAAATCTACGTAACTTGAGTGCTTTTTAAAGAAAAAATTTATAAAAGGTATCAATCATACTTATTATAGAAGTTGTTTGGATGATAGAAAATGCTACAAACATGAAAAACAAAAGGGATTTCTAGTTGTATAAATAATGCATTTTATAAAAAATTATTTGGAACTATATTTTCAAAATTTTCGGGTGTTTGAACTCAAATAATCTAATTTGACATTTGATGAATGGGAATAATCGTGACCTCCTTGAACAAAAAACAAGTAGTATCTTTATAAACAATCTTTTTATAATTAAGGTCAAATAGTATTTTTATAAACAATCTTTTTATAATTAAGGTGAAATTGGATCTTCAAGCCATAATAGGAGTTTCTTACACTAGAAATGGATATATTTATAGGTTTTAGAGAAGCATCTTAAGTCGATTGTTAGATGTTCGTGCCTCATATAAACCGCCCTTTTTTAACAAATAACTGGGGAGGTTTCCAATAATTAGAAATAGGAAAATTGTACGTAAGGCGGCTCCATCACCTATAGAAGGTAGGTTGCATTGAACAAAGCGGCTCCGTCACCTATAGAAGGTAGGTTGCATTGAACTGCATCGTTTCGAAGGAGATAATTTTAGGAAAAATTACAAAAAAAAAAAAAACATCTATACCACACCTTTTATTTATCTTACTTCCAACCAATTTTTTTCTCTCACTTTTTTTTTTCTCAAAAGAAACTTTTTATGCAAATATACCCCAAGAGAAAAAATTCATTTTTTTACACAAAAATCATTGTGGTAAGATTTGACGTTGTATTTTGGACCTAGTAGCACATTGTCAGAGCCCACAAGTGCCGGACTGCCCTAAGACAACTAGCAGACCGAAATTGAGTATTGCTAGACAACACTTTATATAGTTTCAGAGCTTTGGAATCTAGTAATATCTGGACCGGCATTTACAACTATCGGACTGCCATTTTTAATTGCCGAATATCACTTTACACAGTACTTGAGCACTACTGTCATACTGCACTTTATGCAGTGCTAGAGCCCTACTGCCAAACTGCACTTTACACAGTGCGTGCGAGAACCTACTGCCAAACTGCACTTTACACAGTGTCGGAGCACTACTATCGGATCGCATTTATATAGTGTTGGAGCCCCAATTTTGGTGGGATAGAGAAGAAAGAGACGTGGGTAAAGTAAAAGAAAAGGAGGGTAGTTTAGGTATTTTTTATTTTATTTTTTTAATTAAGGGTATCTGCATAAAAAATATATTGAGGAAAAAAGTGAGAAAAAAATTAAATTGGGTGAGTTGCATAGAGAGTGTAGTGCGGGGTTTTTTGTAATTTTTTGATAATTTTACAATCTTAAATATATTATCATACCTAAACTGCTGACTACCGCTTGGTTGGGTTGAAAATTAGTAAAAATCTTGATATTGGATTATCTAATTTTAATCAATTGGACCATTCAATTGAAATTATGACTTATACATCTCATCAGACCTAAGAATTGAAAATATTACTCGTAAGCAAAAGAACTCCATCTTTTCTATCTTTCAACCCCCTAAACCTTTTGTACCATGTATTATTGACCTCAACAACTTATAAAATGACTCTATCTCTCTCTCTCTAAAACTCTATTTTTCACATCATCGTCTCTCTCTCAAAACTCTCTCTCTTTAAAACCCAAACTCCATCTCTCTCTCACATCATCGACTCTCTCAAAACTCCATCTTTCTCTCTAAAACCCAAACTCCATCTCTCTCACACACATAAGGTATGCTCGTTTTCGAGCTCAAGCTAAACCCTTTGGCTGGTAAACTCATCGAGAAGAGAAGAGAAAGATATGGAGTTTTAGAAAAAAAGAGATAGAGTTTGAATAGAGTGTCATTTTAGTGTTTGTTTGGATAAAAAATTTATGATCAAAAGGATACAGGGGGTTGTAAGATAGAAAAGATGAAAACCTTTGCTTATAAGTAATATTTTCAATTTTTAAGTCTCATGAGAAATGAAAGTTAAAAATAAAGAATAAAGAGATATTTTCAGTGTTTTGAACCAAGTTTCTCACTCAATCATGACAAATCCGATCTTGATAACTACAATCTTGAAATACAAGTCATATTTTTATAGGGCAGCGATTTCATACAAGGGTTGTAACATAGTACAATGTAACGACATTTCTAAAAAAACCATATTTGTGGTATTTGTATGACCCAAAATTTTGCACACATACTTTTCATCTCAATAATCAATCAAGAAAAAAAAAAAGTTCAATTTGAACCTTATATATGATCGAAATGAATCCCCTCTAAAAATAAATCTAGACCACTTATTTGGTGAATTTCAAGATCTTACCCTTTATAAACTCAAAATCATTTATTTATTTTTTTAATATTGTTCATCTAATGATAATGAAGCCATTTAAAGAAATTGAAAATGAAAAAGTCGTTCTAAGGTCTAGATCTAAGCATCTCACCAAAATAAATGGCCTATGTTAATTGAGCTAAAAAAATACTTTTTAAATTGTATTTTCATTTTTTTTTTTATTGTCATTATTCATTAAAATAAAAAAGATGTATATTTCAAAATTTGAACCAAACAAATAGCTATAACATGATTTTTAAAAGTTATTATATCATATTACTATACAATCGTTACATGAAATTATTGCCCATTTTTATACGATCTTAAAATACAGTTCCAATCTCTCATCTACCTAATAGAAAACCATTAAAACACCATAATATCCATTTTCTTGCTCAATTACCATACACAACTGGTGTATGGTTTGATATCCCTTAAAATACTACGCGTCGTTGCCGTATGCCAGTAGTGCATGAATTCTGGTTTGGAAAGTCATTCTGTTTCTATCACGATAAAGAACTTCTACTGCTTCTTTTAGCAAAAGAAATCTCTCTCTCTAAAATGGAGAAGTCGTTCTCTCTCTATAACAACAAAGAATTTGCTTTTCCTGGTTTCTGTAGCCCTAGAGTTCTTTCTTTCTCTAAAACAGAGTCGTCTTTCAATGTTTATTGCAGGTTTTTGTCGCCCTTTGGTTCCTTCTCTCTCAAAAAATACAAACTTAGATTGTCAATGGCCGCCATTGAAGAATTCAAATTCAGTCCCTCAGAATTGCAGAAACGTTTGAACCAGCTCAGCTTCATCTTTCAGTCTAAGCAATCACTTTCTCTCTCTAGATTCAATTTGGTCTCGGACAATGGTAAAACGTGAGTTTTTTCACATCCTCCATTTCAATTTTCTCGATCTAGTCTCCGGACAATCATTCTCTCTCCAAATGGTGAGCTCTTTTCCATTTTAAAGTTCAATTTCTCCGTGTAAACTTTTTGTTTCTCTCTCTGTATTCGATTAAGTCTCAGAACATGATAAAATGTTTTCTTTCATCATTTCAATTTCACAAACTGTCTTTCAGTACACCATGAACTAATGCTTTGTTTTTTTCCAGAGGATGAATTGAAAAACTAAACCTCTGTTTCTGGTTTCTGCTGAAAAGATCAACACTTTCAATAGCTTCTTAACTAGTTTGAGAGCGAGAATTTGCTAGAATTTACAACTTCTTAACTAGTTTTAGAGAGAGAATCTGTTACATTTTGCAGCTTCAATATATAGTTTTAGAGAGAAAAATGGCTTATTACCGCTTGTTAACTAGTTTTAGGGAGAGAATTTGCTACATTTTATAGCTACAGTAACTAGTTTTAGTGAGAGGATTTGCTACATTATACAGCTTCTTAACTAGTTTTAGAGAGAGAATTTGGTATATTTTGCCACATTTTACAGTTCTTAACTAGCTTCAGACATTCGCAACTTTTGCAGCTTCTTAACTAGTTTTAGCGAGATAATTATCCCAAATTTGGAAGATCTGAACTTGTTTTATGCAGAGAACTTTTCCAACTTTTTCTGTTTCTTTACTACTTTTAGAGAGAGAAATTTTGCCCAACTTTGCTGTTAACTAGGTTTTAGTAAGAGGAATTTTGCAATAACTAGTTTTATTGAGAGAACTTTGCCAAACTTTGCTGCTTCGTAAGTAGCTTCTTTAGCAGGTGGTTTTCATGCTTTGTTTCATCATGGAGGGGGCCAATTAGGGTTTTCATGGTTCTGCTGCTATGGCTTTGTTTAATTGGAGAGAGCAAAGGCGAAGAAGCTCAAAATTTACAGAGGTACGCATGCGAAGATGTTCTTCATTACTATGCACCTGTACAAGACTTGAAAGGTGCTCCATTGATGGAGAAGCTACACTCCATTGTATCTGGTCATCAAGCTTTGCGTTACAAAGAGGTGCTCACCATGGCCTAAAAATCAACCATTTCATGTATTTTCTTGTTATTTTAGCCCTATTCTTTTTCAGTAGATGAAAGACTCTCTCTCTTTTGAGCACAGAGGTGTTCATTATGAACTAAAATAGGAAGATAGTGTTGAGTAGATGAGAGAGTTTGTTTCACAATGAGCCGGCTTCTCTCTCGCTCTCTCCCTCATACATACACAGAGTTACACCCCAACATACACCCACACCCACAAAACTTACGCTCCCTCTCTTTCTCATGTCTTAGTGTTACGTAGATGAGAAATAAGCTGTTTCACAATGTGCTCTCCTCTCTCTCTTTCTCTCTCACCCACACACACAGGCACACGCACACACAAACTTATTCTCCCTCTCTCTCTGTCTCTCATGTTGTGTCTTAGTGTTGTGTAGATGAGAAATAGTCTGTTTAAAATGAGCTGGCCTCATCCTCTCTCTCTCTCTCTCTCTCTCTCTCTCTCTCTCATTTTGTGTCTTAGTGTTAAGGTGAGAATAGTCTGTTTCACAATGAGATGCATCTCTCACTCTCTCTTTCTCATATTTTATGTTACAAAGAGGTGCTCATCATGAACTGAAAGTTGAAGATTTGATGTATTTTTGTTGGTGATGCCCTTAGTTTTGAGTTATGACTAGTAGTTTGATTCACTAGGGATTGCTCTCTCTCTCTCTCTCTCACACACACACATACACACACACACACACACACACACAAATTTGTTCAGTTGTGAACAATTGGAAACTGAAGAAATAGGTAGAAATATGATTAAAAAAAATGTTTGAAACAGGTGTGGGATGCACGCGAGATTCTTGATGCAGCTGATGTTGATAACCCAGAAACCTCCTCAGAAGTGTATGCATTTTACAGAAGCTTTGATATACATATTACATTATTGACAATCTTCACCCACCAACCCCCCCCCCCCCCCCCACTGCCCCCCAAAAAAAAAAAACAGCCATCCTCTCTTTCTCTTTCTCTCTGAAGTTCAAAAAACTCGCAGAATTGAAATTTATACACTGAGAGCTGTACCCAAGAGCTTGGCTGGAAAACCAGATGGATGGAACAGTGAGTTATTTACTTGGCAAAAAGAAAAAGGGGCAATGAGTTGTTCATATGGCTACACATTCAATATTCTTTAGTAGTAACCTCTTCCCTGTTTTTTCTCTTTTCTCTTTGCGATTTGGAATGTTTTCGCTTGCACTGCCAATTTTAATATATTTAAACAAAAAAGTTTGGAACATATTTATGCATTCTCCTATTCATGCATTAATCATAGAAGATTTTCACTATCTTGGACATAAATCAGATGCATATTGTCACATAAAAGTGTTCTGATTTATTCATTAATGAGGTTCTCCTAACTCTTTTGAATAATGATAAGAGAGAGAGAGTTGAGTTTTTGAATAATGATAAGAGAGAGAGAGAGAGAGAGAGAGAGAGAGTAGTTTGTACGCATAGTAACTATTACTAAGTTA